CTTCCTTCCTTCCTTCCTTCCTTCCTTCCTTCCTTCCTTCCTTCCTTTTTCTCATTCCCTCCCTCCTTCCCTTTTTTATGCCTTCCTTCCTTTTTCTCATTTCCTTCCTTTCCCTTCCTTCCTTTCCTTTCCCTCCCTCCCTCCCTCCCTTCTCCTTCCCGCCCTCCCCCTCCCCCTGCCCCCCCCCACATCCCACCAGGCTCTGGGACCAGAGGTGGGAGGAACCTGGCTGAGACCACCGGTTCAGCTTCTGCTTTTGGGGTGGTGGGGGGAGGACTCATCTGCCGGTCCCAACCCCCCCCCCGCTCCCCCTCCCTCCCAGCCCTCCCCTGGACCTTCTTTGGAGGGGGGAGGGCACGTTCGCTGCTCCCTGCTGCATCCTTGAGGCCGAGGGGGGGAGGGGGCAACGGGCGCCCCCACCGGACTCCTCGCTTCACGCCTTGGGGGAGCAGAGTTGGCGTTTCTCGCACTTGGCACCCAAGAGACGGCTCCAGTTTTCTAAATAAAACCTGTACATTCCAGCTCTTTGCGTCTGTGTGTGTGTGTGTACACGCATCCATACGGGTAGTCCTCAGCTTACGACCACAATTGACCCCAACATTTACGTTGTTAAGTGAGGCATTTCTGAAGTGGGACGTTTGTTAAGTGGATTTGCCCCGTTGTACGACGTTTCTCACCTTGGTTGCTAAGCGAATCCCCGGCAGTTAAGTGAGTCACACGGTTGCCCAGTGGCTCTGGGGACCCCCTGCCCCCCCCCCCCCCCCAGGGAACACTGCAACCGTCATGAGTGTGAGTCAGTTGCCAAACATCCAAATGTTTGACCCCTTGGCCATGCAACGGTCGTAAGTGTGGAAAACGGCCCTAAGACCATTTTCTTCAGTGCTGTTGTCATTTTGGTCACTAAGTGAACTGTTGTAAGTCGAGGACTGCCTGCATTTGATGGATGGAAGCATGAAAGAGGAAGGGGGGGGGGAAAATTTGTCACTGAGTGAAGCAACTTACGAGCTTACGAGTGAAGCAAAATGTCTGTTGCTAAGCGAGATGGTTGTTGATGCCCCATTTTGTGACCTCCCTTGCCACTCGTTGTTAAGTGAATGACTGCAGTTATTACAACAGCGCTGGGAAAAGTCACTTTTGACCGTTGCAGCCTCCTCCATGGTCGCGTGATCAAAGTCCAGGCGCTTGGCAACCGACTCATAGTTACGAGGGCCGCAGCGTCCCTGGGGTCACGTGACCCCCCCTTTGGCAACCCTCTGACCAGCAGAGTCAATAGGGAAGCCAGGTTCACTTAACGACCGTGTGTCTCACTTAACAACTCCACCGATTCACTTAACGACTGGCAAGAAAAGTCATAAAAAAGCAGAGAAAACGAGCTGCCCAACTGAATCCCTTAGCAGCGGAAAATTGATTCTCAGTTATGGGAATCACGTTGGTCGTAAGAATCTCCGGACACGGGCGCTCAATGGCTAAGACGTTGATCAGGAAGGTCGGCGGTTCAAATCCCCAGCGCCGCATAACGGAGTGAGCTCCCGCTCCTGGTCTCAGCCGCTTCTGCCAACCTAGCCGTTCGAAAGCACGTGAAAAAATGCAAGTAGAAAAATAGGGACCCCTTTGGTGGGAAGGGAACAGCGACCTTCCGTGCGCCTTGTGGCGTTTAGTCCTGTCGGCCACGTGACCACGGAGACGCCTTCGGACAGCGCCGGCTCTTCTTCGGCTTTGCAACGGAGTGACTTCCCTTTATTTGTCCCCGCTTCTGCCTACGTAGCAGTTCAGAAGCATGTCAAAAATGCAAGTTTCAGGATTCCGGCAGTTACTCTAGGAGTAGCCGACTCTGAGACATGTAATTCGCTGTCACCCTTGACCCTGGTTTTCCCCCCACCTGCCCCCTTGGTGTATCGTAATCCATATCCTCCAATGGGACACCTCCATAGCCCAGAGTCATCCGTCAGGCTCTCCAGTTAGAATTTTGTACAACAGAAACTTCGGTCACCTAGTTACTATCTCTGGAAACATTGACGGAATGCATTTTCCATTTCCAAGCTGCCACACTGCTCCCCCCCACCTCCCTTTCTGTTGGCCACTCTAACAAGACCCTAAAAATATTTTTATGTCTGGATTCCATCGGTTCTCCCCGCCATTTAAATCCCGAGTCTCGAGCCGAACTTCCAAAACTTCAAAAGGATTTATTGGGAGTTATCATGTCTGGCACTGCCTGGGTGCAGCTGACTCTGAGACACGTCATTCCTTGTCACCTCTGACCCTGGTTTTCCCCTTCACCGCCTGGGTGTATCGTAACTCATATCCTCCAATGGGACCCATCCATAGCCCAGAGTCATCCGTCAGGCTCTCCAGTTAGAATTTTGCATGGCAGAAACTTCAGTCACCCAGTTACTATCTTTGAAAACATTTATGGAATGCACTTTCGGTTTGCAAGCTGCCACACTGCTCTTTCAAACCCCTTCTCTGTTGACAACTCTAAAAACCCTAGAAATATCTTATGAGTTGACAGCGAGTAGGAAAATAAGGACCCCTTTGGTGGGAAGGTCACAGTGTTCCATGCGCCTTCGGCGTTTAGTCATGCCAGCCACATGACCACAGAGGCGTCTTCGGACAGTGCTAGTTATTTGGCTTTGTAACGGAGATGAGCAGCGCCCCCTAGAGCCGGAAACAACTAGTACAGATATGCAAGGAGGGGAACCTTTTATCTTTTAAGAATCTCAAAAGAGTTTGGATTCTGTGGGCAGAAGAGTGAAGACCCCCCCCTGCCCATCTTGGGTACAAAAGCTGGGAACAAAACCAACCAACCGGAAAAAAAAAGATTTGATTAACGACTGTGTGGCTCACTTAACAACTCCACCAATTTACTTAATGACTGGCAAGAAAAGTCGTAAAAAAGCAGAGAAAACCAGCTTCCCCCGACTTTTGAATAGCATTTTATTTATTAATATTGAGATAAAGCTCCTGGGTCAGCATGGATGAAACTCAACGGGTTTAAAAAAGGCACGAAACAGCATCAGAGTCAGAGAAGAATTGGCGGTTTGGAACTTGTGGCACAAAGCACAGGCAATCCTTGACTTATGGCAGTTCATTTAGTGACCAAAGTGACAACAGCGCTGAAAAAACGGGCGGCCATTTTTTTCACACTTAACACCTGTTGCAGCATCCTCGGTCATGTGATCTACAGTCAGATGCTTCACCAACCGACTCGCATTTATGACGGTCACAGTGTTTCCGGCGGGGGTGGGTGGAGTCAAATGATTTCCCTTTTGGGACCTTCCAACGAGCAAAAGTCCACAGGGACACTTAATGACCGGGTGACTTAATCAGTGCTGCGATTTGCTTAATGGTAACGAGAAAGGTCGTAAAGCAGGGCAAAACTCTGTTATAAAATGTCTCCCCTAACGACGTAAATATGAGGCTCAGTTGCCGTAAGTTGAGGACTACCTGTACCGTGGATAGCCAGAGTGGAGATGCTGAATTACATAAAACCAGACACTCGAACCAGAAGCTAAAATCACCAGATTACATCCAGGGGTGCAATTCAGCTGGTTCGACCCGTTTGACCAAACCGGATGTTAAATTTACACCTGGTTCCCTGAACCAGTAGTTGAACTGACCAGCTGGCCCTGCCCGCCCTGCCCCTCCCCTCCCAGGAGTCTACAGGTGGCCCGTTCTGGATGCAGGTAAGTGCAGGATCCGTGCAGAGGCTCTGGAAGGGGGAAAAATATGGGCCGACTCAGAAGTTCCAGAACTCCGGAAACGGGCCTGTTTCCTGCTTCCTGAGGGGCCTCCGGAGTCTGGGGGAGACCATTTTCACCCTCCCAGCGACCCGAGGAAAGCCTCCGGACTCTGGGGAAGGAGAGTAGGCCACACCCAGATGGCCACGCCCACACAGCAATTAGGTAGCGAACCAGTGGCTGCGATTTTTGAACCCCACCCCTGATGATGTCCGTTTACTTTGGACCATGTCATGAATGCAAAATTCACCGGAAAAGTCAAGGACTGGTTGGTGCAGGGGTCTCCAACTCCTGGGTCTGTGGACCACCACTGAGCCACGGCATGCCAGAAACCGGGCCACGCGAACGAGCGAAGCCCTATCCGTGGGATGCAGGCGGGACACGAAACCACGTCCCCCGCCCTCTGGTCCACGGGGGGGGGGACTCCACAGAACTGGTCCTCGGTGCCCAAAGAGTTGCGGAGGAGGGCACGGAGTTAGTGGAGGAAGAAGAACGGGGGCGAGTGAAGACCACGCCGGCTGGATGGCACCCAAACGGATGCAAAAGTTGGACATACGGTGTCGATTGACGGTCGAGTGGAGAAGATGCTAAGAATCGGACGCGGTTGGAACATTAAAATAACCAGCCTCAGTTGGATCCCAGGAGCCCTTGGCCTTCTGAGAGGGCCAAGTCCTCCTTGGGAGGGGGATGGTGGAAATAGGGGGGGGGGTCCAGCACATCTGGAGGGCAGCTGCTGCTAGTGCAGGGAAGAAGCTGGAGCAGGGGGACCCAACGCCGTTGAGGTCCATCACCAGTCCAGGTGGCCGGGACAGTACTTGGCTATCAAGCTTTCGTAGTAGGGCTTCAGCTGCTGCGGGTCCGGAAGCTGCTCACACTTGGTGTAGAGGTCAAATTTGCTGCAAGGGAGGGACAAAGAGTTGGGGAGGGGGTGTTATTGAAGAGGCGGGGCAGAGAGGTGGGGCTCCCTGTTATCCTGAAACCATACTGATGTTGGGTCTCTTCTGAACAGGATTTGATAAGCCAGGGAGAAGCCAACATTTTGCTCCAGACATCTCCCAAGGGCTTCTTGAGGCCACCAACGTGGAGGAGACTGAGACAGGAAGTGAAGCCTTAGCTAGAAAAAGGGCCAACAGGCCGTGTGGGAGGGAAGGAGGCGGCACCAGGCAAACTAACAACTATTAAACCAGCAATAAATCATTGTTGCAAATGATTACCTGCAAATCAGTGTTGCAAATGATTACCTGCAAATCAGTGTTGCAAATGATTATCTGCAAATCAGTGTTGCAAATGATTATCTGCAAATCAGTGTTGCAAATGATTATCTGCAAATCATTGTTGCAAATGATTATCTGCAAATCATGGTTGCAAAGTTATCTGCTAAGCCAGGGGTCCCCAAACTTTTAAGGCTTGTGGACTTTAACTCCCAGAATTCCTCAGCCAGCTTTGGAATTCTGGGAGTTGAAGTCCACACAAGTCTTAAAGTGGCCAAGCGTGGAGACCTCTGTGCTAAGCAGATGAGCTTCTCTGCACCTGAAATCTTGGTGCACAGGTACCTTCTTGAAGGTGTGAGACGGAGGTTGGGCGCTGCCATGCCTCCACTCTGGTCCAATGGAATAACAAGAATTGGGAGGGACCTTGGAGGTCTTCTAGTCCATCCCCAACTCAAGCAGGAGACCCTATGCCATTCCAAAAGGCTGTCCAGTCTCTTCTTAAGAACCTCCAGTGATGGGGGCCTTCACAACTTTTGTCTCACCGATGAATTGTTCTCACTGTCCGGAAGTTTGAGGGTGGAGAAACAACGGCTGGAAACGGAGCAAGCAGAGAAGCCACCGGACAGTGAGAACAATTAACCAGTGGAACTGCTTGCGCCAGAAGTTGCGGGTGCTTCAATAATGGAAAGTTTTAAGAAGAGACCGGACAACCACTTGGGATGGGATTGGAGAAGGCAGAGATCTCCAAACTTGGCAACTTTAAGACTTCAACTCCCGTAGCTGGCTGGAGAATTCTGGGAGTTGAAGTCCACAAGTCTTAAAAGTTGGCAAGTTTGGGGACCCCTGGTATAGGGGTTGCTGCTTGAGCAGGGGGTTGGACTAGATGACCTCCAAAGTCTCGTCTTGTTCTATGTTTCTCTCCTTGATGAGTCTCCATCTGTTGTTTCTTGTCCTGCCTTCAGAGGCTTTGGAGGATAGCTTGACTCTCTCGTCTTCGTTGGGGCGGCCCCTGAGATATCTGAACACCGCTATCCTGTCTCCCCTGGTCCTCCTCTTCCACAGACGAGCCATGGCCAGTTCCGGCCACCGTTCTTTATAAGTTTTAGCCTCCAGTCCCCTAATCAACCTTTGTTTCCCTTCTCTGCACTCTTTCTAGAATCTCAACCATCTTTTAAAATATCGCAGAGACCGAAACTGGATGCCAATACTCCACGGGCGCCCTTACCAAAGCGGTACTAACCATTCTGGAAAAGTGCTGAAATGGCATTCCCCGCTCCCAACCCTGGTCTTTCGATCCCCTCCGCCCCCCCCCCACCCCCACCCAATGGCTTGGAGCTTCTTACTTGAACTCTTGCACCCAGGGTAACATCTGGAGATCCTTGGTGTTGCACAGGTGCATGTAATCCCCTCCGGTGTGCCAGGGGTAGAAGGAGTGGAACCGCACCATGTAGTAGGCCTGCGGACAACAAGGAGAAACATTGCAAAGACCTGGGCAGGAGCTGATCCCACCTGGACCTATTACCAAGAAGTTGCTAAGAACGTACAACTCGATTGTCCAAAATCCACTGGGGGCAGCCGAGCATCCATCAGAACGTTGAATCTGGGTTCATAAATACCCTTTGGGGGGAATCTGTCCTAACTTTGAATCGCCGCTAAGCAAGTCCTATGTTGAGGATTACCTGTAAGGCAAGGGGCAATCGTGTGCCCCTGGGTTTGGGGGGATCTTGAGGTTTGCCGGCAGCAGGTGCCAAAGGCTGAGGTCTCGGAGAGCGAGGACTCAGATTCGGGGCCTGCGTGGGATGCAGGGATGGGGCCAGGACCTTCAGGGAGTGGAGTGCTGCCTTCGGAGGTGGTGGAGGCTGGCAGCAGTGAGGAAGAGGCCCCCGAGGAGCCTGTGCCCAGAGCATGTGTGCGCAGGGCTGCCCGAAGGAAAGAGCAGCTGCAGCAGCACGGGCAACTCGGGAGTAAGGCTGCAAGGTGATGGCCCCTCCCTTAAGGGATAAAAGCCAGCTGAGAAGCCAGAGTTCTGTGCAGGAAGCAAAGAAGTTTTTGCACTCAAGCCTTGTGGACATTTGAACGATCTTGATTGGTGTTTGGAGACTCTGTGTTTGAAATATTTCTTTGTAACTTTATCTAATGTTCTTGGCAGCCTTGCACAACCTTGGCAAGGCTCGTTCTTCTCAGAGTCTATTAGTTTGGAACAGCCTGGTAAGCCCAGGAGTAGCACAATCAGCTAGAAGGTAGGTTGCGACAAACTGTGGTTCATACTTGGGTTGAAAGCCACTGAACCACAGAAAAACCCGTTTATTTTTGGTGCAGGGGGCGTGTCTCCAGAGCATCCTTTGGCATCACGGGCACCAACTCAACACTTGTGCCAAGAATAGCGGGCTGGGCCACACCCTGCTGTCCTCTTTCTGCTAGATCCGTTCTTCCGTTCAGGGTGTGGGGGGGTGAGATTCTTCCGGTTCGGACCGGTTCTATAGAACCGATTATGATTCTGCACAGTTCAGAAAACCAGCAAATTGTGCCCCTGGCTGGCCCCGCCCCTCTCCTCTCCACCCAATCAGTCCTTATCACGCATGCACGACATCACTGACTGCATTCTCCCCTGCTCAGTCACTCCTTAAGGTATTTTCCCCTCTCTCCCAACGATCAGCTGTTCCAAGGATCAGCTGTTCCAAGGATCAGCTGTGCCAACGATCAGCTGTGCCAACGATCAGCTGTGCCAACGATCAGCTGTGCCAATGATCAGCTGTGCCAATGATCAGCTGTTCCAATGATCAGTTGTGCCAACGATCAGCTGTGCCAACGATCAGCTGTGCCAACGATCAGCTGTTCCAACAATCAGCTGTTCCAACGATCAGCTGTTCCAACGATCAGCTGTTCCAATGATCAGCTGTGCCAGGATCCCCCTCTTCGCTGTCTTACTGCTTCACCCAGGAGGTTTCCCTAAGGCCCAGGAGGCAAAAAAAGTGGGGGGGGGGTTGCTGCAAAAAAGAAGCAACCACGCCCATACAGTCCCCTGGCCATGCCAACCTGGCCACACCCACCTGGCCATGCCCACCTTGTCATGCCCACAGAACTGGTTGGTAAAACAGGTTGGAATCCCAGCCGTCTTTCTATCTTTGCAACTCCTCATCGGCGGTGGGTTCCCAAGCCCGAGATTTTAATCATCCTCAAGGATAGTTCAGTTGGACTCCTGCGCAAAGCCGGGAGTTGGGACCTCGAGGCCCGTCTTGGATATTTATGGACTTTGACAACACCGTCTCCTTTGAAGATGCCTCAATTCCCATCTTCTCTTGCTTGAGGATCTGAGATTCTTGGGCCTTCAGATATCCGAAAGGAGCTTTTCCAAAAGACAGTTGGACTTCCTTATTTATTTTTTTTCTTTGAAAACGTTTTCCCTACTCAACCAAGAAGCTTCTTCAGTTCTGAAGGACCAAAGGCCTTCTAGACCCCGAGGAAGCGGCTCGTAATGGACTTAGAGGTGTGAGCGTATTCTCCAAACGTGTGTAACTCTCTGCCACTACAACTGGACGCTTGATAGGGTTACCTATACAAGAGAACTGAAGAAGCTTCTTGGAGGAAAACTTTTTCAAGGGGGGGAAACTTGAAACCAGAATCAAGTTAGTTGCCTTCTGGAAAAGCGCTTTTGAGACAGCCATGACCTGCATGGTTGAGAATGTCTGTAGATATTTGGCCTTCGGGTAGTTTTGGGGTGAGATCAAAGCAACCTATCACAGGTCAACCTGGATCAGGAGAAGAATAAATCTCCCAAAACACACGTTCACAGCCTCCCCATCTTGAGTGAGGCGAGTAAACTGCAGTGAAGGCGGCTGGAGACCTCAAATTCAGGTGGTGCCCTGGAAATCCCCCCCAAGATAAAAGAAACTCTGGGGATTTGTTCCCCCACGTCCACCTCAAGGAGAATCAGGAAGTCGAGTGGCCTTCTCAGTCGCCTACCTCCTCTGGAAGGGCAAATTTATTTTTCTTCATCACTTGGTACATGTACTCTGGAGCAGGTAGGAAAGAAAGAGAGAGAGAGAGAGAGAGAGAGGATAGGAAGGGGAAGAAAGAAGGAGGGAGGGAGAAAGGAAGGAAGGAAGGAAAAGGAAGGAAGAACGGGAGAGGGAGGGAAGGAGGGAGAAGGAAGAGAGGAAGGGAGGGAGGGAGGGAGGAAGGAAAAGGAAGGAGGGGGAAGAAAGAGGAAGGGAGGGAGGGAGAAAGGAAGGAAGAAAAAGAAAGAAAGAAAAAGAAAGAAAAAAAAGGGTAGAGAGTTATTTGCAGAATTGCAAACTGCCAATGTGAACCACCCAATGTGATGTCCAGGTAAGTTGGACTTCAACTCCCACAATTCCTCTGATTTTGTAGCATGAGGAAAACACCCAATCAGAGAAGGCAGAAGTTGCAGTCTAGCCTCCACCGCCTTCCTCGTTGCTCATTCATCTGTCTACTGCATTGCAGCCTCTACAGAATATCCAAGTTGGAAGGGACCTCGGAGGTCTTCTAGTCCAACCCCCTGCTCAAAAAGCAGACCCTATACAGTTTCAGATAAATCGTTGCCCGGTCTCTTTCTGGAAGCCTCCAGTGACGGAGCACCTACAACTTGGGTGCAACCATAACCTGGATGACTGTGACAGTCATCCGTGGACAAACAAGGATCTGTTTTGGCTTCCACTTAGGGGTGTGTTGGTGGGTGTGTTCTCTGAGTGGAGGGCTTACCATCGTGACCCCAGGACATCAGGACATTTTCCAAGCCACAGTGGGGCTGATACATCCCGTACTTGGTCCTGAGGAGGTAAAAAGGGAGAACGTCTCAGCTGGAATTCTGTGGAAACTTCTGGAATTCTGTGGAAACTTTAGCAAGAGGGAAGAAGCGGGAAGAGCCGGTGTCTCTCACTGGCATTTGGAAGAAGGTGACGAGAGTTCGGAGGGCCACCTGCAAGTGGAACATCAGGCATTGGCCAAGCCTTTGGTAAATGCCAACGGTAGCCATCCTTCATGCCTCTGGTTTCACAGCAAACGTGATGGAGCCCGGTTGTAGGTCCAAGGAGATGCAGAGAACAGTACTGGTACAATGGCTAGTAACCCTCACTAGATAGTGTCCCAAACGTGCTTTTTTCCCCCCCAAGAGGCAACTGGACTTTCTGGTGTTTCTCTGAAGATGTTCCGCTTCTCATCCAAGAAGCTTCTTCAGTTCTGACTGAATGGCGGAAGGATTTATGTTCCTTGCAAGTCCTCTGGGCGTTAGCGCGCTTTCTGAGAGTCGTTGAGGCCACTCGGAGTCCCAAAGGGGCAAAGACAACCTTGCTTTTTCAGGAGGCAACTGGACTTTCTGGTTTGTCTTCGAAGATATTTTACTTCCCACCCAGAAGCTTCTTCAGGTCTGACTGAATGGTGGAGGATGGAAGGATTGATGCTCCTTGCAGACAGCTGGTCATTTGCATCCTTTTAGCAAGTCGTTGAGGCCACTTGGAGGTTTCTCTGTGTCCTCGAGATCACACCTGTGTGATGCAAATAGGTGTGAAGCCTTCTTGGAACTGTTGAACGGACTGTGTTGCAGACTGGAGATGGATGATGTCATATCCCTCCCCCTCTGTTGAGAGAGAGCTGTTCGGTGTTGACATAGATGGCCTCTATGACCCCTCTTTCAAACCAGCTATCTTCTATGTACCAAAATGTGGACTTTGCTGTCTTCAAAAGAGTGACCTTTGTCCGGCTTGGCAGAGGAGAGGAGAGGTAGAACAAGGAAGAGGGAATTTGGAGGAAGACTCAGGCCCACCCCCTCTTCATCCTAGGGCAAGCAGGGAGGAACGGAGAAAGGAGCAACCTGGGTTGCATGGCTTACGGGGGAGGAAAGGGCCCTGATTCCCTTCATTAGCCACACCTGGGAATGAGAGCTTACAAGAAATGCAGGATGCGTGTGGCAGCTGCTGGGAACAAATGTGAGTTTATCTTGTGTCGACTTTGCTTATCTGCATTCCTGGCTTCCTCCCAACCATGTTGAATTACTGCCATTCCTTCACATCTGGAATTTTTGCCCCTGCCCTGTGGAACTAATGACCTCATTTTGCTTGGGCTTATAGTTACAGTTTTTGTGGACCATGTTTTGGACTGAATTTCCTCCACTTGAAGGCTGTTCCTGGGAGAGTTTTTCTCTAGCCCAGAAGGTAACCTGGACATTGGGGGCAAAGTTGGAGATAGTCAAGGGACTCTTCTTGCTTATCTGACTGTGTTGCCTTTGTGCCACGCCCCTTGGGGTCATCACAATTGCTGTCTGGGTGTTTTGTCTGTTTTACCATTTCCCCAACCATCCAGTCAGAGGGGAAGAAGCTCCTTGGATGGAGAAGCGAAACGCTTTCAAAGAAAAACCAGAAAGTCCAGTTGCCTCTTGAAGAAGCACCTTGGCAACAACCATGACCTGATGGATGACTGACAACCTCCATAGACACCTCGGCGGATAAGTTCTTCCATCAGAGACGGAGAGGCCACTGTGGAAGGAGGACCGGGGAGACTAGGAGCCAAACTTCTGCTGATCTCAGGGTCAAGAGAATCGGCTTGCTGTCAGGATTCCAGCGATCGCCCTCATTCAATCAGGATCCTTGAGCCAAACTTCAACAACCTTCAGAGAATTCATGAGGCGTGACATACTGGCGTGACCCGTATGAAGCCGATTCTGGCATACGAAATTACAGTCCCCGGTGACTCTGTTTTTCCCCCTTTCCTCCCTGGGTCTGTCATAAATCAGTTTCTCCAATTAAGCCCATACACAGGCGAGGCATCATCCATCACATTCTCCAATTAAAGTTTTTTCCTTGGCCAAAGCTTCAGTCACTTAGCTACAATCTTTTTAAAGATAAAGTTGGAATGTGCTTCTAAGTCCATTTGCCACATACTTCTCCAGTCTTTCCCCCCGCCCTCCTTTCTTATGCCAACTTGGGGACAAGTGTAGGAATGTTTTACAAGTTGACACACAGCTCCACATGTTCTACCTACTAGCCCTCTACGTCAATGACGGGATTCAATTTTTTCTTTACTACCATGGCTTGGTGGGCGTGGCAGGGGAAGGATACTGTAAAATCTCCAGCCAGAGGTGGTGTTTACCGGTTCTCCAAACTACTCAACCTTTCTGCTACCGGTTCTCCTGAACTGGTCAGAACCTGCTGAATAACCACCTCTGTTCTACATCCATCCAAGGGTGGCCTCCAACGTCAAGCAAGGTCAAGCCAGAACTTACGTGTACAGAGGATTCCTTGTGTCCGGATTGTCGTGGAACGTGGAGTCCCTGAAAACGATGGAGTCCTCCAGCTTGCAACCCACTGGGAAGGTGTCTCCTACCACAGCCCACTGTAGGAACAACCAAGATCAGAACACCCCGTAACACCTCGGTTCCTCTTTGTTCGATACGGTTGTCCTTGGACCGAACCACGTTTTTCTATCCTCGGTATCGGCAAGCGTGCAACCAAACCCCCATTTCATTTAGTGCGGGTGGTCTCCAAACTTGGCCATTTTAAAACTTGTGGACTTCCACTCCCAGAATCCAAGTGTTCTGACCCAGCTCCCCAAACGCAACAAACCTTCTGTATTTAAATCAACGATTCCTTTGTTAGGAGTTCCTGGCAAAACGTTTTTCAACGCAGGTTAAAAAAAGTCTGTCCATCCAGAAGATGATTAGTTGTCTGTCACATCTATTCATCTCCGCCCCCTGCCTTTTATCCCCAGAGCTCAAGTAGGGCTTCTCTAGCAGTGGTGGCTCTTCCGTCCCGAGGGCCGGCCCATAGATTTCCATTGCTCTCCTCTCCTCTCTGCCTTTTGCACATCCACGCGTCAGGCATTGGACCCGGCTGTTCCTCCTCTTCCCCTTCAGCCACCTCCAGACCTGGGGGCTGTTGACTCTCCATCTGAGGGCTGATGGACAGCCCAGGCTCCACCCCCCCCTCTGACAGCTCCACCCCCTCTTCCTCCTTGTAGCTCCCAGGTTGCCTTGGTGCTGACCTTGACTCCCACACCTCCTCCTCCTCCTCCAATTCAGCTGCTGGAGGGGCTGGCGGCCAACAGACCACAACATAAAGGTGCCAAGTTTGGAGACCCTTGATTTAGGGATTCCTCAATGTGTATCGATTAGAGATCCTGGGACTTTAGGTTCTTCACCCATCCATGAGCATAATTCTCATTTTTCTGCCCCCAAAATAAAGACTAGATATTAAGGGGCAGGGCTTGGGAATTTGGAGACTCTTCCACAACCCTTGTTCTTCATCTCACCTGTGGTTCGCCAGACAGGGCCAGAATTTTCCCCAAATCATGGAGCAGTCCGACCAGGTGGAACCAATCTAGAGTGGGACCAGAGAGAGCGAGAATCTGTTTTTGTCCTTGTCAGGTCCCTCCGACCTCAGTTGGGACTTTCCGCTTAGGCACCCGGTGCCTCATGGAACCTCTTGATGCCAGGATCAGAGCCTGACCTAACTAGGTGGAAGATCTGGAGGGCGAGGAGGAAAGGGAATCTCACAGAGAAACATCCAGCTGAGCATTGTCCTTTCCTGGTGATAACAAGGGGTGCTGATGGCTCCCTGGAAAACATCTCTACTCTGCTTGAGGTCTTCATGTGTTGAAGACACACTGAGATGGCGTCGCTCAATGATCACCAATGGACCCAGAGCACCTCCTGCCGTGATAGATGGGGAGTTATGGATGATGGACTCCATCATCTCTTGGAATTGGAAGCTAGACATGACCTGACATCCAAGTAATTTGATCCTCCTAATTTCTGCAGGACCCCAAACCGCCTCCTTTGACTGTCATCTTCTGCATCTGTATAGAAGTGGGGAGAGCCTCTTGTCCTCCTAGGGACTATAGTTCTAACCAAGGAGTTCACCTTTCTCAGGATGTTTTTCCCGAATCCCCTCTGCTGTCTGGTAGGCGTGGTAGGAGTTGGGGAAGTCCACATCGGGGTCCGATTCATCCACCACATTGTCCAGCAACTCCAGGGCCTCCATGATGGTCATCTGACGGAGGTTGCAGCCACCATATTGCTCGTTCTAGGGAGAGGGAACTGTGAGGACACTAGGATGGGACTAGAGCTATGATGCCCTCTTCAAACTTGAGGGAACTAGGTAAGTCTAGTCCAAGTGTTGGCAACCCGCAGCTCTGGAGCTGCATGCGGCTCTTTGGTCCCTCTGCTGTGGCTCTCCGTTGGGCGATCCCACCATTGGATGGCCACGCCCCTCACCCTCCCCTCCCAGTCACTCCTCGCAATACCTGAGAAGGTATTGTCTGGGGTGTGTGTCATGTGACTGGGTGGGAGTGGCATTGAGTTGGCCACGGCCACTCAGGTTTTGTGGCTCGCGATGTTTTATTTTCTGTGGGAAACGGGTCCAAATGGCCGTCAGGTTTCCAAGCTGCATATAAGTCAATTTCGGGTGTGACAATGGCTCTTTCAGTGTTTAAGGTTGGAGAGCCCTGGTCTAGTTTAATGAGTACTAGGTAGGATATGGCGACAGTCTTCCAAAACTTGAGGGGCTGCCACAAGGATGAAGGGGCCAACCCTTGAAGGCAGGACAAGAAGCAACGGATGGAAACTAACCAAGGAGAGAAGCAACCTAGAACTAAGGAGGAATTTCCTGAGGGTGAGGACAGTTAACCAGGGGAACTGCTTGCCACCAGAGGTTATGTGTTCTCCATCACCGGAGGCTTTCAAGAAGAGACTGGACAACCACTTGTCTGGAATGACATAGGGTCTCCTGCTCAAGCAGAGGGTTGGACTAGAGGACCTCCAAGATCCCTTTCAAGCCTATGGTTCTATATTCTGTTAAGGAGAATGAAGGAGAAATTTCCTTTGAGCGAGAACAATTAATCAGTGGGACCGCTTGCCTCCAGAAATTGTGGGTGCTCCAGACACACTTACCCAGGTTTTGTGGCTCCCGGTGTTTCTCTCTCTCTCTCTCATTCTCTGGTTTGGAGCAGGGGGTTGGACTAGAAGACCTCCAAGGTCCCTCCAACCCTATTATTCTATGTTCTAACTCAAGGCTCTTCAAACTTGACTTTAAGACGTGTGGACTTCCACTCCCAGAATTCTTCTTCCAGTCATGTTAGCTCAGGAATTCTGGGAGTTGGAAGTCCACACGTCTTCAACTGGCCAAGATTGAAGTCCCTTGTTCTAACGGTTTCGGCAAATTTTGAAAACGAGGCAGGATCTTAGGAGGAGCAACTCATTTGAGACTAAAATGGCGGGAAACCCAGCAGGTATTCTTTGGGGAGGGAGGGAGGGGGGAACAGGCTATTGCTGGCAACACTTGATATCCATCGCAGAAGTGGGAATTCAGTTCTGACCAGTTCTGGAGAACCGGTAGCGGAAATTTTGAGTAGTTCGGAGAACCAGCCAATCCCGCCTCTGACTGGCCCCGCTAACCCCATCTCTCTTCTCTACCTCCCGTTGAGTCCCCGCTGATCGGCTGGGTCTCCTTTGGTTGCCCTGCCCAGGAGAACGGAGCTGGAAAGCAGGTTAGCGGGGTGGGGGGAGAAGGGGGATTTTGCAGTATATCCTGACCCTGCCACGCCCACCAAGCCACGCCCACAGAACCAGGAGTAAACGTTTCTGAATCCCACCACTGATCCACACAGCCTCCAAAGAACTGGAGATAGGCCTCTCTCGTTGCTGGCATCACCTGGATGTATGGAGCCATGCTTGGTGCCCAAGAGACCTTCCCCAGAGGAGAGGTGGGCTCTACCTGGGCAAACGCACCTTCTTCTGCACAAATTCCACTGTCTGGTTGGTGTGCATGAGCAGGTAAGTGTGGTAGACTCGGTCAACCAGCGCCCCCTCCTGAAATGACAATTCCGAAGTATTGCGGCGATTTGACCATCATTGATCCAAGGCAGAGGTTGGCTTCCCCCCCCCTCCCCCTAACTTCAAGATGGGTGGGCTTCCATTCCCAGAAGAGGTGTTGTCCCAAAATGCTCGAGAATTTCCCGGAAGCCGGGCACTCGGACAAACTGACCATCAACAGGCGCAGAGAGGGAAACAACAGCTACCTACCATTCGAAAGAGGCGATCGCAAAGCTAAAAGACCACAATGCCTCTTGACCGGCGATCTATATATCCTGATAATCAGAGTTTAACACCAACTGGTAAGCAAGGCCTCCATCAAGAAACTACCAATTCAGTAAAGGAGAGATTAACCAAGGAATGACCAAGAATACTCCCACCAACACCGACAGGGTAAGCCACTAGTATATAAGCAACAATCCCTTCTAGCACTGATGATGTTCCCTAGTTGGGTCACAAAACATCTGCAAGAAAACCAACATGGTCAGGGAGCACTAAGGACCCCACGGTTCCCCTCCTCCTGCTCCTGCTCCTCCTCCTCCCTTCCTTTTCCTCTCCTCCTCCTCCATCCCTTCTCCTTTTCATCCTCTTCCTTCTCATCTTCCTTCTATCCTCCTCTTCTTCTCTTCCCCCTTCTCATTTCCTTCCTCTCCTCCTCCCTTCCTTTTCCTCTACTTTTCCTGCTCCATCCCTTCTCATCTTCCTCCTTCTCATCTTCCTCTATCCTCTTCTTCCCTTTCCCCTTTCCCATTCTCATTTCCTCCTCCTCCTCTTCCTCCTCCTCCTGCTCCTCCTCCTCCTCCTCTTCCTCCTCCTTTAGCACTGATGATGTTACTGAATTGGGTCAGGAAAACCATCAAGCTCAGAAAGCACCAGTCTTTCTCCTCCTCCTCCTCCTCCTCCTCCCCCC